ATTGAGTGCTCGAGTGATAATCCAAGCGAGAGTGGATGAGGGTTTAAACAAAGGAGAGGTGGTTGCTGTGAGTGGAGTGTGATCTAATCTGATCTATCAGATGCATAGATATTGTTTTAGATGTAGTAAATATAAAGCAATTTTGGAGAAGATAACAGGTGGAAATGAATGAATGAAAAAACCATTTATCAAGCATTTATTATATCTTACTCAATTCTTAATCATTATGCTAAGTACCAGGGATAAAATAGAAAAAGTGAGATAGTCCTTGCTCTCGAGAAGTTGATGCTCTAAATTGGGGAGACAAAAAAAAGGAAGTCCATCTGTAGGGTGAATGGAAAGACCTAGAAGCCCCAGTGGTGCAGAAGACTAGTGCCAGAGCTCCTCAATAGGCCAGCTGACAGTACTATGGGCCTGAGTGGTGTAGAGGCAGTGTGAATGTTATGGTATGTTGGACTTTAGGTTGCAGTGGCAGGGTCAACGGTAAGGACTTCCTTTCTGCATCTCATGGTAATGAATAAAATCCATGCCTCCCATCTCATCTAAGCTATTTGTGGACAATAAAAGGGGGGTGAAAGAGGGAAGGAAGAGGGTAAAGTCACCCCCTGGGGGTAGTAGCAGCTATTCATGTAAGAAGGTAGCATTTGAGCTGAGCCTTGAAGGAAACTAGGGATCGGAGCAGAATAACAGAGAGAGAAGCAAATTCTAAGGATACTGCAAAGAAAATGCAAAGACGTTTTCTGACAGATAGGAGATAAGGCACCTTATGTGAGGAATAGGAAGAAGACCAGTTTAGTCTGGCTACAATGCATGAAGGGAAACATCATGCCTGCATAAGGGGATCCTATGTGGAAGGGTCTTAAATGTCAACTAGAGTGATTTATATGTCATCCTTGAAGTAAAAGTGAGCTGCTGAAGTTTATGAGATTTATGCTTGAGGTAAATCCCTTCAGCAGCTGTGTGGAGGATGAATTGGACCAGAGAGAGATTTGAGGCAAGGGAGCCCAGTTAGGAGGGTATTCCAAGGGTTCAAGTGAGAGGTGATGACTGCCTGAAATGATGGAGGAACTGTGTGAAGGGAAAGAAGGGAGCATGTGCCAGAGATGTTATGGAGACAGAACTGACAAGGCTGAGCAACTTATTGGACTATGGGGTGAAAGTGAGGAATCAGGTCTCACACTAAAGGTTGCAAAGTAGTATTCCTAAAACACAGGTCTGACCATTGCCCTCTCATCTCCATAAAGTCTAAGGGCTCCCTACTGCCTCTAGGGTCAAACACAAAGAGTTTAGTATTTAAAGCCCTTTGAAAATTGGCTTTAACCTAGAGATTGCACCTCATTATACATTATTTCCTTTCACACACTCTTTGGTTGTGCAGAACTCATTATCTCTCCTTTCCTTACACTCAACATTCCATCTCCTGTCTCCATGACAACAGTATACTTGATTTAGCTTCTTAGAATTCCTCATTTTTTTCAAAGCAAAGCTTGTCTACCACTTCCTACACGTGGTCCTCTGTGATCCCCCTAGCTCCTAGTGCCTTGTCCATCAAATTACCCACTTATTTAGTTTATATTCAGTATTCTTTCATATGTATGTGTATGAGAAACAGCCAGCTTTAGAGGGCAGAGAGTCAGCCTTGAAACCAGGAAGACCTGGGTTCAGTTCTCACATCTGACCCACTCTGGCTTTGTGGTCCTATTCTCCAGACTATTCTCTAGGACTATAATTGAAGAGAATAAGCAGACCTGCAATGAAACAGGAAATTTTCCTATTTTGAAATTCCCCATATAAATTATATTACAGGTCTATACATTTGTCTTTGTGTAGCTCCAATTACAAAATATAACCTCCTTGGAAGTAGGAATTCTCATTTTAATCTTTCTGTTCCCAGTGCCTAGCACATAGTAGGCACTTGATAGAAGATTGCTGATAGATTAATTGACTTTGTGATTTTATACTAGCCATGTTTCCTTTTGGGTCTTATTTTCTTTATATCAAATGAGAGGATTTATTTGACCTCTGAAATGCTATGAAATATGAAAAAGTAGAGCTGAAGATACACCAGATCAGGGGTTCTAAACCATTTTTGCATCATGGACCCCTTTAGCAATCAGTCTGGTGAAACATATGCATCCGTTCTCAGAATATTGTTTAAAATAAAAAAAACCACAAAGAATTACAGAGAAAAGTATGTGGTCCTTTGCCACATTCAAATTTTAAAGATTCAGGATTTCTTGGTATGTCTATAATATCTCTCCATCAATAGATCTTTTTTACCTTGGGAGAGACTGTCTCAAGTTACAATGACAAGAAGAACTCTCCAGATAACCAACTTCCCCATTTTTGGCTAAGCTTGCCATCAGCAACAGATATGGAGTTCTTCTGAAGCAATGGACTCAAAACCTTTCCAGCTGTCTACAAATCTCTAGCTTTGGGCTCTAGTGGCATGGAGTTGAAGAGCCTAGGTTCACTTTGATGCCATGATGAGCCATATTGTAATCTGGGCACCATCCTCTCCAAAGGACATTGACAGTGTCTTCCAACTCTCAGTTTCTGATTCTATGATTCTGAGTCAGTCATCAGAGTATTTTTCAGTGAAGAAATAAAATTAGTAATTATGAATAACTCACATTTATAAATTTTTCATAGACACACTGTACTTAATATACATAATGTATTGTCATCTGACTGTCCCAACAACCACATAAGAGTGGTAGTGTAAGTATTATCACCATTTCATGTCAGCAAGGCAACAATCATTTATGAAGCCCAGCTAAAATGGTAAAGACATAGTTCTTGCCCTCAAGAAGCTTATATTCTAGGAAATAAGAGAGAGAACATGTCAATCATTGGCTAGAGTAAAGATACATTCAGAGTAAATGGAAGACACTCTGAAAGGAGAAGGAATTAGCAGCTGGAGGCACCAGAAAAGACCTCCTGGGATATGTGAGATTTGAGCTAATTTTACATATGGTGAAAGTGTGACTCAGAGAAGCTGGTAATTGACCATTGATGTGACATTGGACAAGTCCACTAGTGTTTCTGGGCCTCTGCTTTCCTCATATAAAATGAAGGATTAGATGAGATGTTCTCTACTATCTTTTCCAGTTCTCAACCTTGTGACATAGCCTTCACTGCTACCAATTTGGAATGATTGACATGGTACCTGATTAGCTTGTTTAAGCTTAGCCATGTTTTTCATTAATGAACTAGGCTAATCATGGACCAGTCCATGTTATGGCATTTGGGATTTCCAAGAATAATCCCTGAAGGGAGAGAAAAAATATGTAACGGTCAGAGAATCCAAAAGGAGCAAATAAGGCTGGAGGCTTCCCAAAATTGTTTATTTTCTGTAGGAGCTGTGGGGGATAACTAGAGTGAGTTGTAGCCTATCTCAGCCCATCTTCTTGGGTTAGAAGTTAGTCAGAACTAGCGAAATCTGACAGAAAGAAAGGAGCTACTGTATCATTGACCAGACTGGCCTTTATGAAGTGATGATTAAAAAAATGTATAGAATGAGCAAAAGCTGAGGGCCTGGGAGGAGGAGTGAAGTGCATGGTGTTGAGGCTACTGATTTCCCTCCCTGTATCTTCTTCATGGAGTGTGAGGAGAAGGTACAGGTCAGAGTTTGTGCAGCTCTGGAGGCCAAACATACCATCCAACAGGATTAAAGGGCATTGGTGATGATATACTCCAAACTGATCCTTCAACCGCCAGTGCTGATAGTCCCAATACTAGAGCATGGAGATACCAGTAGCATAGAAAATATTGAAATAATTGCATTATTTTATTGTATAAAATCTTTTAAATATTTTGATTATTGAAATCAATGTGGGTAACTAAGAACAAAAGATATGAACAAGGGGAAAAGGTTGTTTTTATTTTTAATATCTCACATGGAATGCAGACCTCCAACACTTGTAGGGAATTCAAGCGGATTGACAACAGCAAAAGTTGGATCCTTATAGAAATTGTCAAAGAATGTGAATTTTTCAAAATTAGAAACACAAAATATGAAAAACCAGATGGAAAATAATTTAAGATCACTAATAAGAGTAACAATAAATTATTCTGAGATATTATCATACAATGACAATCAGTTTGGTAAACCTGATAAAAATGGAAAACTTTTTGGTAAGGAATTGGAAAATAGGCACAAAAAGTTTGTAGCTAGTCAATGTTTAAGTTGATATGACTATTTTAGAAGACTATTTGTAATAATACAAGGAAAGTATGAGGACATGCATTTTTAAGAAGCAAAATCTAGGTCCAATTAAATGGTTGAATAAAATTTGCAATAAATACTTCAAATTAAGGCATATTTTCCCCTTCCCTATAAGCAAAGTTGATTTTTTAATGTGAAGTTGCATTATTATCCATTGCAATCTCTTTTTCATGCTGTATGAATTTCCCTAATTATTATTGTTGTTGTTATTTTTATTATTATGCCATTTTTGACTACAAGTCAAATAAGAACAGCTAGGTGGCACAGTGAAAAAAATGCTTAACTTCTTGGAGTTAGGAAGACCTGTGTTCAAATCCAGTCTCAGACACTTGCCAACTGTGTGGCCCTGGACAAGTCATTTAACCTCTGTTTGCCTCAGTTTTCTCATCTGTAAATGAGGATAATAAGCACCTACTTCCTAGAGTTGTGATGAAAATAATATGAAATAATAATTGTAAAGCATTTGGGACAATACCTGGCACACAGTAAGTGCTTTATAAATGTTAGCTTATTTTTATTGTTGTAAGAAATAGATTAAAAGACTTAATAAGAAAGAACATATTTTAAGACATCAAAATATTCCTAAAATCATCTTTAAATAATGACCAAGGTGCAACCAGCTGGGGTTTCATGAAGAAAGAACTAAAGATGGCCCACAGAGTAGTCAAGCTAATCATATGACTAGAACCCTTCTCTTACAAGGAGGTGGAAGAATGGAAGGGTAGATTCGGGGAAGTATTAGTCATGAACAGACAAACTCCAGCCTAATATGATGGATTATGAAGAGCAGTTTGAAGGGAAAGAAAGGAAGAGAAAGAACATGACATACGGATCTGGGTGAGGGGAAGAGAAGGGGATAGAGAGAATCAAGAATATAATACAAATGAGGAGCATATTCTTCTTCTCCCATTACTCTCTTCCTTGTAAAGAGAGATGAGTGAGCAAAGAGAAGAAAAATATAAGAAAATAAGAAGAAAAGAAATACACAATTAATGATCATAACAGTGAATGTGAACAGGATGAACTCATTCATAAAATGGAAAAACATGAGAGAAAGCGGATTCTGGGAATATATTGCTTATAAGAAACATATTTGAAATATAAATGTTAACACAGAATTGTATAATAAAATGGGCAGCTAGATGACTCAGTGGATAACACACTGGACCTGGAGTTAGGAGGACCTCAGTTCAAATCTGGCCTCAGACATTCACTAGCTGAAGAACCCTGGGAAATTCTCTTAACCCTGTTTGCCTCAGTTTCCTCATCTGTAAAATGGGCTGGAGAAGGAAAAACAAATGAAGCCTTTAATTGTAAGTCACACCCTCATCAGAGAACTCACAACCAAAAGAAATCCTATGAAGGTACCATTTGTGGGAAAGTCTTTAGGTGGGTCTCAGGCTTTGCTCGACATTGAAGAAGCCATACTGAAGAGAAACATGGTAAATATAATGAGCAAAGGAGAATTTTTCACCGTAGATTTGAAGTTCAACACCAGAGAATCCAAACTGAAAAGAAGTCTTATATGTGTCATGAATATGGGAAAGCTTCCACTCAGAAGAGAACTCTTATTGACCATCAGAGAATTTGCACTGGGGAGAAACCCCATGAGTGCAGTCAATGTGGAGAGTCTCCAGTTGTAAGCCATACCTGATTGTACATCAGAGGACTCATATCTTTAAAGCCCATCAGAAAAATCACATCATGAAGAATTGCTATGAATGAGTCAACATGGAAAAACCTTTTCCAGAGTCATCACTCACTATACATCATAGACTTCATACTGGAGGACTACCTCATAAATGCGGTATCTGTGGGAGACCCTTCAGGTGGAAGTCAAACTTCACTCAACATCAGAGAAGTCACACTGGGATGAAACATTATTAATGTCAAGAGTGTGGCAAAGTCTTCAGCCAAAAAGACAGGCTAATTGATCACCAGATGATTCATAGTGGGGAGAAATTCTTTAAAGATCAGCAGGGTGGCAAAGTCTTCAATAGCTGAGCATCAACAAAATGGTGATAGCAAAGAACCTTATAAATGTAGTAAATGGGGGGCAGTCCTTCAGCTGAGCCTCAGTCCTTAGCTTACATTGGAAACTACACACTGGGGAGAGACCCTATGAAAATGATAATATGAAAACTTTTTTTCCAAAACTTGTCTAACCTCATATCAAAAGTTCCATATTAGAGAGTCTATAAATGTAACATGTGTGAGAAAGCCTTTCATAAGAAATCCCGGCTTCCACAACTCCCACAACAGATTTCATACTTTAGAGAGATCCTACAGATGTAATAAATGTGGGGGAAATTCTAATGGAACTCGAACTTATCTCAACACCAGCAAAGCCCGCCATGGAGTAAACAGTAAAGTAAAGATTTTGTAGTTCTGTAGCTATTACTACAAAAGGCATCTTAACTAAGGACATCTCAGCTGTGCTATTGATGATTCTGGGAATGACTGATTTTCTTTCCCGAATGGGATTTTCTTTCCTGAATGGGAATTTCAATCATGATCATGGACAGACTGAAGAATTCCTTACATCTATCAGGAAATTTGTCCCAAGAGCAATGTTTGTAAAAATTAGGGAAGAGATTTCAAGCCTGCTTCTAGCTGAAGCAAGTCATAAGAGGTAATATAATACTGGTGTCCGGAAGATTTGTCTTTATTCTCCCCTTTTGACTCAGCAAGTCAGTTAGACTTTGTAAAGGCAGTCCTGTCATTCTCTAATTGATTCTCTATTACACTCTTCACACTTTGAGAGTATCTGAAAATTCACTAGTGCTTGCCAACTAAGAGATGTATGGGTTGGTTCAGGGAATCACAAAATCCAACTCGGGTGGAGGGAGCAATGTTCAGGCAGGAGAGAAAGAATTGTCTCTTAACCTGAGAGAGGACTCAAAGGAGAGGGGAACAGCTAGAGATTGAATTGGCTTCCCTAAAAACAGCCTAGAAAAAAGTCTGAATTTGTGTGAAGTGAGTTATGAGGGGGATTTTTTGGGAGGGAATAAAGTTGATATATGCCTGAGGGAGTGACCCTGTCTCTTACTGATATATATCCCTGAAAAAATAACATGGCCTTCTGAAACTGTTTCATCTGGAAAAAAAAAAAAAGGTAGTGCATGTAACACCTACCTCACAGAGTTATCATGTGGTTCAAGTGAAATAATGTTTATAAACCACTTTTCAAATCTTGACACAATATATAATATACACTATTATTAATTATGTAATGATTATAATATGTGATATCATCAATGAATATTTATTAAAGCAAATGTTGATCCCCAAAAGCTAGTGTGGTTTTACCAAGAATAAATCATTCCCCCCTAAAAAAAGGAAAAATAAAGGAAAGGTGATCATTAAGGCATCTTTTCTAAAAATTCAGAAAAGGGGACAGAAAGAAGCACAGAGAAGCAAGACAGCTTTGAAAGGTGCAGGCTGAACGTATATATTTAAAAACAAAATCAAGCTTTACACAATAGGGAATATGTAGTTTACTATGCAATCTTCTTTTTTCTGTTTTAACTACATATTTGAAAATGATTTTATTTTATGTTCATGAAGAACAATATTTTAAAGGGACAGATCTTGCCTCAATGGCTATATCATATTGTTTTAGAAGTTTATTCTAATATATAGATATCACTTCTCCAGGCTTCAGTAAAGCATTTGGGAAAAAAAAGTCTTTTAAACTATTTCTGTGAGAAAAGAAAAAAAAACATGGAGAGATGTGGACAAGATGATAAAACATTTAACTGATTTGGGAACTCATTGGATGATCAGACTCAAAGAGTAGCCATTAGTGGGTCAATATCAATTTGGAGAGAAGACTGGAGGGAAATGCCTCCAGGGACCTGTGCTTGGTCCTGAGCTGTCCAACATTTCTATCACAGACTTTGACAAAGACTTAGATGAGAGGGCTATCTGATGCTACAGACTGCCACTCACTGAATGGCACAGTCAGAGCCCAAATAGATCATGACCACCTAATATAAAGAATTAAAATCTAATTAAATGGAACTTAATAGAGAGAAAGATCAAGACCTATATTTAGGTTAAATAACCCACTTTGTAGGTACAAAATAAGGAAGGGTTGGCTAGACAATAAATCACCTGGAAAAGACGTGGAGGTATGGTGAAATGTTTAGTAGTCCACAGAGAGATCCAGCAGCCTAAATGCCGAGGGCTATACTAGATTGCATTAAACTAGGCTTATTATGCAAAACTTGGGAGTTGAGAGCCCCACTGAATTATTTTGTTTTTGTTGTTATTGTTGTTGTTGTTGTTGTTGTTGTTATTATTATTATTATTATTATTTTTGTATTAGTCATGATGTAAAGAACAATTAGAACTAATGTGAGGAACCTCGAGAATGAAGCAATAAAATAAAACAACAAAGGGAAAGGAGAGCAAATAGTATACACCCATCTGAATTCAGATTCCATATTTCTTTCTCTGGGGTTAGATAGCAATTTCCATTGTGAGTCTTTTTGGAGTTGTGTTAGATTCTTGAATTGCAGTGAAGACCCAAGTCTACCAAAGTCAGTCATCTCATAATGTGGCTGTTAACTGTGTACAGTGTTCTCCCGGTTCTGCTCATTTCACTATGCATCAGTTCATGTAAGTCTTTCCAGGGTTTTTTCAAAGTCTGCCTGCTCATCACTTCTTATAACACAGTAGTATTCCATTACATTCATGTACCACACCTTGTTCAGCCATTCCCCAATTGATGAGCATCCCCTTAATTTCCAATTCTTGGCCAACACCGAAAGAGTTTCTATAAAGATTTTTGTACATGTGGGTCCTTCCCCCTTTTTTAATGATCTCTTTGGGATACAGACCTACAAGTGGTATTGCTGGGTCAAAGAGTATGCCCAATTTTATAGCTCTTTGGGCATAGGCCTAAATGGCTTTCCAAAATGGTTGGATCATTTCACAACTCCACCAACAATATCTTAGTGTTCCAATTTTCCCACATCTTCTCCAATATTTATCATTTTCCTGTTTTGTCATGTTGGCCAATCTGATAGGTGTGATGTGGTACCTCAGAGTCATTTTGATTTGCATTTCTCTAATCAATAGTGTTTTAGAGGTGTTTTTTTTAATAAGACTTATACATAGCTTTAGTTCCTTCCTCTGAAAACTGCCTATTTGTATCCTTTGACCATTTATCAGTTGAGGAATGACTTGTATTCTTATAAATTTGACTCAGTTCTCTATATATTTTAGAAATGAGGCCTTTATCAGGGATACTGGTTGTAAAAAATTCTTTCCCATTTTTTGCTTCCTTCCTAATCTTGGATGCATTGGCTTTATTTGTGCAGAAACTTTTCAATTTTGTGTGATCAAAATTATCCATTTTGCATTTCATAATGTTCTGTATCCCTTTTTTGGCCATAAATTCTTCCCTTCTTCATAGATCTGAAAGGCAATCTATTCCTTGCTCTTCTAGTTTACTTATAGTATCAGAGTTGATATCTAAATTGTGTACCCATTTTGACTTTATCTTGGTCTAGTGCGTAAGATGTTGGTCTATGCTGAGTTTCTGCCATATTTTTCCAGTTTTCCCAGCAGTTTTTGCTGAATAGTGATTTCTTATTCCAGAAGATGGAGTCTTTGGATTTATCAAATAATGGATTGGTATAGTCACTGACTATTGTGTCTTGCATACCTAACCTATTCCACTGATCCACCACTCTATTTCTTAGCCAGTACCAAGTAGTTTCATGATTACTGCTTTATTATACAATTTAAAATCTGCTACAGCTAGACCACCTTCTCTTGTTCTTCTTTTCATTAGTTCCCTTAATATTCTGGACTTTTTTTTCCTTCCAGATTAATTTTCTTACTGTTTTTTCTAGCTCTATAAAATAATTTTTGGTAGTTTGACTGTTATGGCATTGAATAAGTATATTAATTTAGGTAGGAATGCCACCATCTGCTAACTGAGGAAGCCATGCTACCTTCAGAAGCTGAGCATAGTGCAATGAGCCCCACCCTTAGAGATACAAGAGCTGGGTTCAAATTCTGGCCTTCTGAAGAATAGTTCCTGAGTTAGGATGAATTCCTTCACTTGTCTGTCCTTGGTTACCCCTCTATCAATTAAATGGAAAGTGATGGACAGAATGATATCTCTGATACCTTCCAGCATCTAAGTCCCAAGATGAATCCTATGAGGCCATGGCTTCCTCTCCCTAGACCTCAGTTTCTTGAATTATAAAAAGATTGAGTTGTGTACATAATGTCTTGGAGCCCTTCCAGATCTAATAGGCTGAGTCTATGAGCTCCAGAGGCCCTGCCCACATCCTGGGCAGCTGAACAAATGAGGAAGGTTGGCCAAGACCCCTCTGGTGGCTGAGCAATGCTGATTAGATCAGAGGTAGCAGTGCTTCTCTCCAGCACAACCCTTTGTCTGGTTAACTTAACAGCTATTTTCTCAAGTCCCACTCAACAAACTTGAGGTACTAGTAATGGGCTGAATGCTCAGGGTTTCAGCATCCATTTTCCCAGGATGCCTCATGGTTGGACCACCATCCTTGAGTCTCTGAAAGGCAGAAGAGGCCCAGGTTCAAACTGGATCCTCTACATTCAGGTAAGGAGGCAAGAAGTGGTGTAGGGGAGTAAGGCAGGGGTCTG